GTCCTCAGTTTGACCCAAATACAAGGGTGTGGGTGTGTGTGTGTGTGTGTGTGTGTGTGTGTGTGTGTGTGTGTGTGTGTGTGTGTGTGTGTGTGTGTTTGCTACCTGGTGAGGACGATTTTTGACCATTTTCCTGATACACACAGCCTGATGAGGACTCACTGTTCCTAATGGGCTCAAAAGTCCAGTCCCCATTGGCAGAAATACTGTTGATGGGTCAGGGGTTACATTTAGGACTAAGACGTGAATTTTTAGGTTAGGTTTAGGGTCAGATAGGTAGTTGTGAGGTTAGTTTTAGGGTAAAGGGGTCAGATGATCTTAGTCTGGGACCCTGGCATAAAAGACAGTAAGAAAAGGATATTGAGCCTTTTAATTACTGATTAAAACTTATTTATTTTTTAGTCCTTTATAGTCTGCAAAATAATTTACAGAAAACTTTTTTAAAGTTTTTGTTGTTCAGAAACGTTGTTGAAGGTTTAAAATTATATCACATATTTCTGGTCTTAGTGGATTAAATCAATCATCAGGTTCACTAAACCTTATCATTATCAGAAAAAAAGTATTTGCATACTGAAAGCAAAATAGGAATTTGATTTTGATAGTCTGAGCCTGACCATAAGCCTCCAGATCCCGAGATTGTGTGACTGAACTGTTCTGTTTGTATATGGTGGAAAGAGGTGGTGAAAGTGCATAAGTAATGTGCTTTAGAACATACGTACATTCCTCGTGATTTCTTTCCTGTGACTTTGGCCCGGGCTCCTCTCCTCTGATGGCTGTAGAGCGTACTGCCGTTGTTGTTGTTGGCGTGGAGAGGACTGTGTGATAAGCTGTTATTGAAGGGCATGGGAAGCTCAGAAGAGGAGCGAAGGCAGACCTGTGTACAGTGGAGCTGTGGAGGTGACAATTTTTCAGTAGACCAAAAGGGTGAGCACCGGCTGTAGCTACTCTCTGTCTCTGTGAAATCAGCCATACAGTCTCTTGGTGTGGCGCTGATGGAATCTGTTATCCTGCCTGTAACAACAATGAAAAGAGTGAACAGTCGTTTAGGGGCTCATAAAACACTGCTTCTTAGTGGACACAAAGCTGAAACCATCAAAACCTTTTGTATTCACAAAAACCTTCCTATTTAGGCATCCTTCCAGGGCTAACTTTTCACCCACATAAATGTATAAAATAAGCATTTGTCAGTTTGTTCTCCTGAGGAAAGTTTAAACACGAAAACACTCATCAGGATACACTGATGATACTTACTCTCATCCTGACTTGGAGCATCGCTCTGCAGGGAGCAAACGGGAGAACACTTTCCCTCCTGTGTCAGCCTGAAGCTCATCTTTTCATTGCGAACTGCTGATCTGGACTTAGTGCAGCTTAAGACTGTGACTGAATGAGGGCTGCAGACAACTTTCTGTGAGAAGAAAGAGTAGGTTAGTGCTTTATAATTAACTTCTGCACAATCTTATGACCCCTAAAAGACTCCTATGATGAGTGCCTCAAATGAATAGGAGGGTTTCACGTGACGTCACGATGCAGTGCCACTAGAGCGAGGAGGAGTTATCTGCGGAATAACAGTGGGCGTGTCACAAGAGTGGGCGTGTCTAAAGCATAAACACTGTGGGCTTCGAGGCCTACATGATGGTATCCTTAGATCCTGCTTGATCTCTTTACAGCCTGACCCTGACCCCAACATTAAGGTTAACCAGGAGAAATGTGACCCAAGTAGGGTTCTCCAGAAAAAGTGGTGCCGTACAGTAACGCCCCTTTTGTTCTTGTACAGTGGTGTGTCCCTTTAACAAAGTCCGTCAAATCAGGCGTGTCACTTTAGAGTCGCCTTTCCTTATGACACGCCCACTCGTCTGCAGAGACCCCTACTTGACTAGAGCGCGAAGTTCGGATGGAGGTCAGAAGTGGAAAAAGTAGAGGATCTGCTATCTGAAAAAATGCCCATATCTTGTGTAGTTTACGAGTGCTCCACTCATTCTAACTGAATTAATAATAAATAATTATACACTGATTAAATTATACATTAAATTAAATTAAATTATGGTTCTTTATATTAATGTTCGTCATTTTTGAAGCACGTTTCAGCAGGAGGATGTAAAATAGGGCTGATTCATAGGAGAAAAACACCTCGTTCCACCCTCTGGTGTCACCCCCACCCCGCCGAACAAACCTAAACCCCCCAAACTCMTTTCTGACTGAAGCCTGAAAATATTAGACAAGCAGCAAAAAATCTACAGGAGGATAAAAATAAAAAGAGGCGGAAGTTGAATAAAGTTCGGCTGCGATGGAGAGACAGCGAGATCGGAAGTCAGCAATGAGATATCCGTAATTTATTACATTTATTATATTTGTATAACTATATTTCATAGTTGGGGTGAAGTTTAGTAAGTTATTTTAGTGTCTTTGATGCAAAAAACAAAAGAAAAAAAGGTGATGAACGTGGAGCTCCAGTCCAGCTGCGGACAGGTGGACCGAGTCGGACCGAGCCGCAGCTTGAGAAGAGCTCAAAGGCAGAGATGGAGGAAAAACAGTCGGAGACAGAGTGAGGACTTTGATGAGGAAGTAGGTGATTCACTATTTCGATTATAAGAGGCAAGAGAAGATGATTGAGCACCAAGCGGACTCTATGGTCTCGTTACCGGTCTGCCGGGGCAGACGATGTGACGCTGACTGGATGCTAACTACACCGAACAGCTGATAAAAGCACGTAAACAACGGGAGGTGTAGAACTTTTTATTCAGCGGGTGGATCCACAACCTCGGTACCAAACAGCTCCAAGATGATTATCGTTTGTTTTTTGCCAGGGTGAGTGTTTTATCTGATATTGTTTTATTTGTTAAGCTCATGCTAACAACAGCCGCTAACATCAACAAACATCCAGTACCTAACGACACAGAACTAGGGCAGCCTAAAGTCCAGATGAGGTCCACATTAAACTACCAGTAACTTAATACTCACTACTAAATAAACGATCATTATAAACATAACCTCTAAAACAAGTTAGCAGCTAACATACCTCTGAATGCAGTGATGCCTGCAGACACCGGCTGCATTCTGCTCCTCCTGACCGCAGACCGTTTAAAATCCACTTTTTATGTTGTTGTTCTGTGAGCTTTCTACATTTTTCATCTTTGTGTATGATAGTGTGTCAAAGGGTTGGGCAGAATCATGTGGCATTATTAATCAGTTAAACTTTTGCTTGTTATTATTTGGCACCTGATGTAAGACGTGTGTGTGGTACCGACAGCCTCAGCAAATCTTTAGGTTCTGTCGAAAACTCATTCATCTTCATCACACGAGTCATGTCTGACTTATTTGTGAACAAATTCTTATGTATCTTGAAATAGGATCTAAATCCATACATTATACTCTCTACAGTAGTTTCCTCCATAGACATCCTCCAGCGAAGATCGCTCCGCCTTCGAAACCACGTGACTGAAACCCAGCTATTCAGTGTTCAGTGCTCTGAGGTTGTCTTTAGTCTCTCTTCTCTACATGTTTATTGTAATTATTTCTATCAATAACATGTTTTTTCTTTTTGTCTCTTTTCCAGAAGTAGGTGCACCTGGACCAGTTCTTCTGTGTTTGTCTGTGTCTCTTTCCTGTCCTCCAACCAGCCGGTCGAGGCAGATGGTCTCCTGTCCTGAGCCTGGTTCTGCTGGAGGTTTCTTCCTGATTAGCAGGGAGTTTYTCCTCTCCACCGTTTTCTCAGGATGGGAGACTGTGATGAAGTGATTCAACACAATCTGCTGGTTTCTTCTTTACATTGTTCTTTTTATGTACAGTGCCCTGAGACAACGTATGTAGTTACCTTCTTAATCACTGTATATTTGTGCAGTTTTTCGTCAGTAAATGAATGTCAAGAAGGCTTACAGTGTCTACAAAAAGTGTTCATCCCTGTGGTTGTTTTATGCTTACTGCCATACATCAATAAGGGTTAACAAACATTGGCCTTCTATACAAATAAATAAAAATATACATTCTTCATTGTCCAAGTGAAATCAAATTTCTTTCAATTTAATAACAATTAAATTATGTATAGTAGAATAAGTGACTGTATAGATAKTTTACCCTCTTTAAAGTGACTGTCCTAATTCAATAGAGAAAATAAAAATTTAAAAATACTCGTGATGGTTGCAAAAGGATTTCCGAGGCCCTATAAACATCCCCAGGAGTTATTAAATTCATCATCAAGAAATAGAATATGGGCCAAGTGTAACCGTACCAAGAGTAGGCCGCCATCACAAATAGAGTGCAATGAAAGCATCAGCATGRTTTTTTTCAGTTTGATAAATTAAAGATTCATTTTAATCTTGTATAAAAGGTGGAGCTGCAGATTTCTAATTTTGTATTATTAGCTTTCTGGCAAGCACACTTAAGAAACCTAGTCCCACTCAGTTGTTAAAATCCCATTCTAGAATCAAATTATACACAGTCAAATCAGACAACACTGAGAAAACCCATCTAAAGAGTCATCATCGACATTGGAAACCTGACACTTTTATATTATAAGTATCCCCCAGGACAATTTAAAGACCTTCCAGCAGAATWAGAAATTGTTTTAACATGAACAAAATGAATATCTTTAAGTGTGAGAATGACAACACTTCTTAATCGGCTGGAAAACTATAAAAAAAAAATCTGTCCAACCCAGCTCTTCTTTAGTCTGGTGTGGTCTGCAGCTCTCAAATACATCCTTTGTGTTTTAAGTAAAATACTGATACCACAATCATCAAGTAAGTGTATTGGGGCTGCAGAAATTTCAGAAAAAAAATAGAAATTCGCAACCATTATTATCTCCATTTCTTTTTTTTTTATCACTAAGGGAGATTAGCAGTGGCAGCCATATTGAATTTAACACAACAGTAATAAGCACAGATTATGTAAAGAATTACTACACAGCAAATTTGATC